TAGGGATTAAAAAAAAAAAAAAAAAAAAAAAAAAAAAAAAAAAAAAAAGGAACGTTGGGGGGGGGGCGGTGAGCCTTGTCTTTAACAGATGAGCCATCTCTCCAGCCCAGAAAGTTTTTCTCTTAAAAAAACCAAACTGGAAGATTATAACCTTGCTATTTTATAGTTTCATAGTTCCATCAGTATAATAAGCAAAAAAAAAAAATGGCTAAGATATTTTCCAAAGTAAAACGTCTTTTGCATTATCCCTTTGGCTCTCAGAAAAGCCCCAGTTTGAAGCACAGACGACACAGATACCTTAGACTTGGGAAGAATCTGACTTCCCTGTACTGAGAAGTTTTTGTGAAACTCTCATCACCTCCCAGATTGCGCTGTGTATGTCGTGTGGCGCCAATGCATCTTCTGTGGGGGTTTAATGGTCCCGTGCTCTGGAGGAGTCAGTGTCTGTGTGCACCATGAGTGGAGCCGATGGGACCAACTCGTTGTTCCAGTCAGTCCCGCAATCCTGACTGTGGTCTACCCTTCCCTTCGCCAGCCATGCTAGGAAGTGTCGTTCCAACAGTTAGCTCCTTGCCCCGCTGATCTTCTTCTCTTTCTGTTCTCTGAAGGACTGAGGATCTCGATGACATCATCAGGGTGGCTGCTTCGCTTCAGAAGACTGACAAGGGGTGAGGTCCCAAGGCTCTCAAACTTGTGTTCCCCCTTGTGTTTGTGATCTAAAAGCTAACCACTGCCCCTGCAATTTCTAAATATGAACCAATCCCCGTGCTGCTTATTGTAAATAATTAAGGAGAAAAGTATCTCCCAGTGTCTCTCTGTAAGTATCTGTGCATGGTGGATGTGCTGACATTTATGAATGCTCATCTTGATCATTCATTTTGTCTTCTCTTCCTAGTGACCTCAGGTCTCAGTCAGACCTCCAGGCCCATATTTGTGTTGCTAGCCCAGATATTCATTTACTTTTGCCCTTAGTGACTCCATTCCAAATATCCTTGGACCGTGATCAACTTTCTTGATAGATACGCTGTTTTCTGCTTCTGTTCTTCTATCCCTGCAGGCTTGACTTTCCAGTCGTTCTCAGTTCTTCCATCCCTTCACACTCTGTGAAGTATAGGTTTGTATAACCTAAACGTCTACGCTGTCTCTTGTACATACATGGACACAGTTCAGGCCCTCACTGTGTCCAGGCTAGCATGGCTATTCAAATTCACTTATACTCCTCAAGCTTCTCTTCCTTCTGCCCCATTACTGCCCCTGAATGCCAGATACTTCTCTGCGGATATCTGCCATGACTCCCCACTGCCCATCGGATTACATATAACTACGTCTGCTAAACCGGATTGAGAATAATTCAGCTCCAGAATCATTTCCGACTTCACCCACGTATTTATCCCATATTTGACACCAGCTTTGACCACTGACTTTTCTACAGTTCCCGGACACACTTGTTTCTGCCATCCCCTCCACGTGCTCACCCCTACCAGTCTCAATGCCACCATGTCTATCTAGTCAAACCCTACCATTTTTCAAGGTTCAGGCCACGACTGAGCTGCCCTGTGAAGTCTTCCTTGTGTGACCCCGTGGAGTGAGACTCTTGCCTGTCTCAGGGATTATAAACCTGGTATTTCTGGTGCACAGATCTGCACCAGCCTGTCGTCTTCTCTTAATCTGTCTCCTCTCTCACCTTCATTTTCAGGGATGTTACTTTGTCACCAAAGATCATTTACATGTCAACATGAAGCTTGGTTGGGAGGTGGACAATATGAAAACCCTGGATGCAAATGTCTCATTGCTTCAGTCCCTAATGCAAGAAGTCCCCCCCCCCCATTTAATGACAAATCAAACCAAACAACCACCCCCACCTGTTGCAAAGGCTGGACGTGCCGGCACACACCTTCAATCCCAACACGTGGGAGGCTGCGGGAAAAGGGCAGCCTGGGCTACAGAGTGAGACCCTCTCATAACAGCCTCCATTACCTGACCAGAGGGGACAGTGACTCGTGGGTCTCTGGGCAGCTGATAGGACCTTTCATTAGATGGAGACTACAGAAAGTGCCATGTGTGATGTTCAAGTCTCATTCTTCTCTCATTTAAGCGCCTACATTTCTAATATTATGAATTCACTTCGAAGTAAACTCTTCAGGACTGAGACTTAAACAGGGGCCTTAAACATGGCAAGAAAGTGATCTGTCTCAGATTGCCTCAGCTTTTTGTTTCTTTTTTTTTTTTTTTTTTAATTTTAAATCAAGCTCTATTTAGGTTTCCCAGCTGGGTCTTGTGCTCACTCTGTGGCCCAAGCAGGTCTTGAACTTGTGATACTTTTGCTTCACCTTCCTGAGTATCTGGGGTTACAGGTCTGACCAAGCCACCCAGGTTAATATTTTGTTCTTGTTAATAATGGGACAAGTTTCCAGCTGGAGACTGAGGGCAGGACAAGTCAGTGACGCTGAGGAGCAGTGACAATGTGGCCTAAGTCACGCCACACAGTGGGAGCAGCAGTCGCTCGGCTCTCCTGCCCCTGCCCCTAGCCACTGGCACAAATCTCACAGAGACATACATTAGCCACAGAGAGAGAACACTGCTTTCACATGCCCAGGGAAATCTCTGTAAAGGGAGCAGAAAGAGTTTCATTATCCCAGCTGCTCTTTGTGGACCAGAGAGCTTTGCTATCTGATGAAGGGCATTTAATTTGTGGCAAAGACAACGGCGAAACTTAATATCTAAAGCTTTTTATCAATTTACAGTCATTTTGAAAGCTCGGGTTCTTCATCCAGAATGCTGTCTCCACCGTGTTTGATTTACCACCGAGTGTCTTCTCATGATTTATGCTAATTTGCTTGTGAAACACACCAGAGACTTGAATCCTGAAAAATCTTATCATTGTGGCTCACGCCAGCCACAAAGGTCTGGGGCTAAAATGTACAGGATTCTTACAGTTGCTCTTTCCCTTGGGATAGAAACAAATTTTCAGCTAGTCTTTGCTTATCAGGTAGCATTTCAAGAAATACACAATAACAAAACACCATGTTTGAGCGCTTGGCAGTTTATTTCCCATGAGGTAAAATATTACTCCTTTCTCTTTCCTGTCAGGGCCAAGAACTCTTTCCCAAACCTTTCCGTGTCCATTCTCAGCTTTCAGTCTCATCATTAAATGGGCAAAGCCACTTTCAGTGAATCACCTACGTATTGGTGATGGATTCACAGATAATTAACATGGGGGTTCGTGTTCTGTTTCTGAGTACTCAGAATTATTTTAAGGTTAATATGCCCTTTGACTCTGGGAAGGGTTATGTTTTTGTTGTAGTTTTATTTTTAAACTAATATTAGATTTTATTTTCTCTTCCCAAAGTGAAGAACTGGACAATCTCATTAGAATGAACAAAAGCTTGAACAGGTGAGGTTAAAAAAGGTCCATTTTTCATGTTATTGTTGTATTGAACATTGTGATTTCTTTTATCATCTTTCCAGAATTACAAACAATGCCCCGTTTCAGAGTAGGATCAACTTATCTGACTAGTCAGTAATATCTCACAAATCTTGGATTAAGAGCTTGGATAAATAATTATTAAAGCACTAATATTTATGTATCTTTGATTTTCGTGTTCCATGAAATTTAAAATAGCTGTATGTTTATACATATACCAAAGTTTCTGGTATTTTTAACACATTTAAGTGCATACAGTTTCACTTGATTGCTGAATATTTGGAGTTGAACAACTAATATCTCTGTTACTATTATCTCTAAGTTTTGAATCACTTGCAATCAAAAATAAAATATTCCAGGAGAGATAAATTAATGATGGAGGCAGATAAGATTAGCAGATAACAAAGGGAAGAAAGCAATAAAGAAATGCCCACTGATTTCATTGACCTGATGCTATGAAATACGGTTTTCACATGCTATTTTGAAAACAGTGATCTGTGGGATGAATGCCAACAAGTCACCTAGATTTGCTGCTCTTTAGTTTCCTCATCTTCCCTGACAGGAGGTGTTAGATTAGGAGCTGTAGGTGCAGGTGTGAATGAGCGGATGTGACTGACCTCATGAGGCACAGGCAGTGGAGGAACCAGGACAAGAGGAAGAGAAAATGTCTTGTCACAGCATTTTGGCACCAATTGAGGAAGCCACATGGAAACTGGGAGTCAGTGTTGCTGGGCATTTTTGGGATACCCTGAAATGTCTTACATGATGGATAGCTCTATCGATACTGGTTTATGTCAAAATAAAATATATACATCAACAATTAAAGAAAAAGATGCCAGAGGCCAGGGATCTGAGAGAGCATTGTACATAGGAGGGGTGGCAGAGAGGAAAGGGAGAATAATGTAATTATATTTCTTTCAAAAGAAAGAAAGAAAGAAAGAAAGAAATAAAGAGAGAGAGAGAGAGAGAGAGAGAGAGAGAGAGAGAGAGAGAGAGAGAGAGAGAGAGAGAAAACGGGCTGGAGAACGGCTCAGAGGTTAAGAGTACTCGATGCTCTTTCAAAGGACCTGGTTTGTTTTCCAGCACCCACATAGTGGCTCACAGCTCTCCACTCTAGTTCCACGGGGATCTGATACCCTCTTCTGACCTCTGCAGGAACCAAGGATTGCACACCATGGACAGACAGACTGGCAAAACATTCATACACATACTTTTTTGTTGTTTTAGAAAAGAATAAAAGATAAACAAGAAGGAAATATTTCATGGACATAAACAGCATTTCTATAGACCTGTCATGGTCTGCATATCCCTAGTTTATCTCTTTGGGTCCATGTCCTTAGGGGTTTATTGTAATTTAAATTGGGAGTTTGGGGAAACACCTGTGTGGAATAAAGCAATTTCCAGGATCATAGCTCATCTTTCCTAGCCAGCTTCTATTTTACATGTCAACTGGCATAAGCTTTTTAGAGTTAAGCATCTGTCATTATTACTGATGAGATTTTTAATCAATATATTTAAAGAAATCAAGGTCTTGACGGCCTCTTCCGAGCAAACCTGAAGGCACAGCAGATAGACAAAAGGTAAGTGTGTCTGTTCGCTCTAGAAGTCCTGTGTCTCAGACTGTTTGCCTTGCTCCTTCAGATGGTGGAGGTGGTAGGAAGGGAGCTGCATCCTCTGGCAGACAAACACACCAGCAGATGGGCTAGCTCTCCCGGCATTGTACATTTAGTTCAGACGTAATTGCCCGGAAGGATCTCTGCTCTTCCATTCAATGCGAGTAAATGAGCAATTCATAGAAAATGTTTATTATATCTGACCTTTCACGATACCACACAATTTCAGTTCAACATGCAGTTTTTATTGCAATTCTTTTTGTTTCCAGAGCCCAGAGTCTTGAAAGTCTCATCTATATGAACACCCAGATGGACAGAGATGCCAAAGGGTAAGAGTCTGTCAAGGCAGGCCACTTCGGGTGACCCTCTGATTGCCTTGTGTTCTCCTGCCAGGGTCAGGCGGTCTGGCGGCACAGACTCTGGGTAAGGTCAGAGAAGGCTGGGTGCCACAGTAGAGGCTCTGCCACCATTGTGAATCTCAGTGACCTGGTCAGTGCCTTAATTTCCTCATCTCATAAGGAGAAGGGTGTGCCTTAGGTGATCTCCACACAACCTGTCATATTAAAAATAAAAGAAACCCAACTGGTTACTATAGGCATCTTATGGACTGAGTATATTGACCACAAGGCACTTTGGTTCTGGGAATGGAACTACTCAAAACTGAAGTTCTTAAAATGTAGAAGGCACTTCATAGATGGGATCTTGGTCACATTTCTCATGTTTAATTTTTTCATAAGTATTTGTAAATATCTTGATGTTGAAAGACACTGAAAAACTTTGAAGCAGGTTAATTGGTGATTAAAAACTGAACTACTAGTCTTTGAAAGATGCATTTGCAATTTTAAACTGACAGTGACAAACTAGAAATTTGGCTTTTCATTACCGATATCATTTTTCACATCGAAAGAAATACAATTTCTGACAGTCCAATTAAGTAACATTTTCTGAGCTGTCAGGAGTGGCAAAGGTTAAGGATTTCTGAGATTTCTCACACTTCTCGCCAGACTGGCCACTTACTTTGTGTTTGGTTAGACATTAAACGTGCTTTTATAAGATGACAGTTATTTCTGTTGTCACATTTATTGTTCAAAACTATTTGTCTGTGCCAGTGTGTGCATGGAGTGATACCCTAGTCTTCTAAGTCAGTCCTGTCAGATGCCCTATCAGCTTTCTGATCCGGAACACACAGCAAAGTCTCTGTGATGGGCAGATCTCTTAGTAACAGGCACAGCGGCGTTGCTGGTGTATTAAAGGTGATTTAATGTGCCCATAATGTTGTCACAATGAAATCAATCAGGGATGAAAATGTTAAATGTCAGTGTGCAGCACTTGGTTGTGTAGCATCAGGGGATTGGTTAGCCTTCAGTTCTTTATTTTCTATGAGAAGGTCTTGTCGTGTAGCCTCAGTCAGCCTCAAACACACAATCCTGCCTCAGCAATTCAGGTGCTGGGATTATAGTAATGGACAAACAGTAGCCTCTTATAATGATTAGATTTTTGTATACTAAAGTTGCATTCTATGTGATAATTTTGCATAGGGTACTAAAGTCATGATGTTGACCCTTTCAGGACACCCTGGAAACTTTTACGGGGAATAACTTCTCCAAGTCCTCAAAATATTTCCATTTAAAGTGTTGATCAATTATTGATTTTTTTACCTAGCATGAAAGAATTTTTGTGCTTAAATAGGTTAAAATCTCAAAGCATATATTAAATTTAGCCTTCCTCTAATCTATCTTCCCCAAAGGAAAGGCTGAGGTTGGGGGGGAAAGGTTTGCTTTCAAACTGATTAAGTTGTACTGAGTAATGGTTGATATCTCGATATTGAGGTGTCTCTCGGACATTTTATGCTGCTTGAATTAGGCATTTCTAAGACTCTCCAGTGCGTTAGGCCCTGTTGCATCTCATTCCTGCTGTGAGTAATCTCCAGCTGTCCTAAAAGATGCCAATCATGCCATTGAGTTTCTCACACACTTTCTTTCCCCAACTCCAATGTTCTAAAGGAATCCAGCCTTTGGAAGTCTTAAGAAAATCCATCAAAGGACGGACAAAGAGAAAGGGTAGGTAAAACACATTCATTGGCATGTGTCTTTCCTTCGGTTAGCCTTTTAAATCTTGTCAGCCTGGGCGTGTTACACTATACTGTCTGCTACAGATGAACTCTTTAGATTTGTCAGAAATAGTGGGCTAAAGGAATACAATCCCCGCCATCTCTAAAGGGTGGCCATGCAAGTTCTCTACCAAATCTCTCATTCTGTATTTTCTTAAATAATAAAAACACTTATCAATTTTTAATGTGAATCAAGAAATGTAAAGGAAAAAGTGCAAAACGGGAAACATGAAGAAGACTGGTTTAAATCAAGTACCACTGTGAAAATCAATTAAGATAGGAAGCTAGAAAATGGGGTAGGGAGACAGATGGCTCAGTCAGTAAAACATCTGCCGTGCAAACACATGGACATTAGCTCAGTTCCCCAGCACTGGTAAGTGGGGAGCATCAGAAACCCTAGGACTTAAGGAGTAGGAGACAGGGGGATGCCTGGACCTTGCTGAGTAACCAGCGTAACTGTATCTGTGAGCTCCAGCTTCAATGAGAGATGTAAAGGGAGAAAGTAATAGAGTAGGAAACTTAATGCTGACCTCTGGGACTCACAAGCACATAATCATACTATGTACACATATGTCCACATGAACATGGCATGCACATGCACACACCACATATGTGAACCCTCGAAGGTAAGCCAAGGGTAATTACAGCAAAGGCCTTTCTGGTCAGTTTTTTCTAGAAACATCAGACACCACATTCAGGCACATTCTCATTTACACAGTTAGGGTTATTATTGATGAGATGAAACAGCATGGCCCTAGTAATTTGTGGAGGAAAGGGTTCATTTAGCTTACATTTCCAGAGGACCATTCATCAGCAAAGGAAGGCAAAACAGGAACTCAAGCAGGGCAGGAACCTTGAAGCAGGAACTGATGTAGAGTCCATGGAGGGGTGCTGCTTGCCTGCTTGCTCCCCATGACTTGCTCAGCCTGCTTTCTTACAGAAAATAGGACCTCCAACCCAGGGATGGCACCACCCACCATGGGTAGGACCCTCCCCCATCAATCACTAAGAAAATTCTCTGTAGGCTTGTATACAATCCCATCTTATGGAAGCATTTTTCCCGTTGAGGTTCCCTCCTCTCAGGTGACTTTAGATTGTGTCAAGTTGGCATAAAACTAGCCAGCACAATGGTTTTCAGAGAATATTGCAAATATTGCAGGCTATTTGATGTAAGTTTTCTTAATTGAAAATTCATATAATATATTCTGATCACGGTTTCTTCTCCCCCATTTTCCCCCAGATTCCCTCTACCTCCTTATTAAATTCAACAGCTTTTTCCTTCCTTCCTTTCTACCTTCTTTCCTTCCTTCCTTTCTTTTTTCTTTAGAAAAACAAAACAAAACATGCAAATAAAAAACAATGAACCAGAAAAAAAACCAACAATGAAAAAGCACAGGAAACCACACACACACATATAAAAACACAAAATCAAAAATCATAACATACAAAAGACTAGTAAAAATAAAAACTTTTAGAAAGCCTTAAAAGTTCTTGCCTTTAAAACTCCCTTTCAGGGTTCAATTAAGGACATGATGAATAGCTAAAGGGGGGCTAGAGATCTGAGGGCAAAGACCCGAGGGGCAAGAAATCTACTCACAACAGGAATCGTCTGTGTATGTTCCTCTATTCTTCTCTCTCCAGTCCGTCATTTCTCATTCTTCTTTCTTGTTCTCCCTTGTTCTGCACTGGTCTTAGTTCTACATGTTTCTTCCTTGTCCTCCCCATTACAAATGTTTTCAGTCTTGTATTCCCTTAAAACCAGCAATTCCCCAGCCCTAACAGGTTCCAGAACCAGAATTCTTTTGCCCCATAGAAAATCAGATAAGAGTTTTCACATACACACACAGATCCATGGCCAGTACATGTCCAGTGAAAAGAAATCCTCAGGGGATTCTTTGGGGGGAGGTTAGTGTGCTACCTTATTGGTTGATTAGTAAAGAGCTAAAAGGTTTACTTTCAGTAAAATTATGAATAGGACACAGATTGTTTAAATCAGCGTGCCACGACTTTTTTTCCTAGCAAGCACAGAGGTTTCCAGGTAACCAGGCAACCTATGTAAACAGTCAGGGAGAAGCTGATGGCTCTTGATCAGATAGCACATACACCAGACGCTGCAGTTCCTATGGGCCTGGGTCTGGAAATTTGCTCTAAGTGAAAAAGAAACCCCAGGTCTCTAAATTGTCAGCTCCAGGCTATGCTGTTATCAACTATTCTGACCGTGGGTGACTGGGGTAAAACCAGAGCAGCAGCTTTGGGCAGGTCCTTGGAGATCTGTGAATATTTTAGATGTGTTCTATGCCTGGACCCTAAGTACTGACCTGTTGATAAAGATAATTGCAGGAAGGCAGATCTCTGAGCTTACCTAGGAGAGAGAAACACGGCCTGGTAGTGGGAAACTGTTTTCAACTATGTAACAGAAAGAGAGGTAGCTACAGTGAAAAATCTACAGGAAAGGACAGCCACTTAGTCACAAAGAGAGACTTGCTCTTTGGTTTAGCCTTTACCGGATCCCATTGGCTGAGTAACTGCTGTACAATATTGCAGCTTGTAGCAAAAAAAAAAAATGTCAAATATAAAACAAGCAAATTCTAAAACACCATTGAATTCATTTTGCATTGGTCATCTACTGCTAGGCAAGGAGCCTTATTAAGTGAGGTTTATATACTCGATTGGAGAGAACCTTTCCTTTGCAATCGGTTGTCAGTTAGGGAAAGTTTCTTGGGTAGAGATGGGAGAGAGATGACTACTTCTGGGCTCCATCTGGCTTGACCCTGTGCACTCGGCCATAGTCTGCGTGAGGCTGTATGTGTATCAGTGCTCCTGTGTGGAAGACAGTTTTCTTGGTGTTGACATAAGTTCTGATGACTTTTTCTCCCCAATAAAGCCAAGGCCTCAGACCAGTTCCCAAAATGAGTGTCACAGCAGACAAAAGCAGCAGAAGGTGAGAACTGCCTGGTTGTCTCTGAGTTTCAGGCTCCCCTTGGCTTACCTGGCGACCTTCTCAGCGGTGTGCAGGGAATTGCAGCTTTGAATATGTCTGTCTCCTCTCCTTTGTGTCCTCCTTCTGCAGCCCTGTTATTCACTTTGAAGAGTGCATTGTTATTGCATCAAAATTTACATTTATATGTAGCATGATGAAATCTTGGAGATTTATTTAACTGTGTTACTTGATAAATTTTATACTAAAACATATTTGATATTAGGATAATGATTTTCTGCAAAAGCTTGAATTAATCACTAAAGATATAGAAAGGGTGATTTATATCTAATTCTATGGAAATGCCATGAAACTAATCCAAACATTCTTTTCATAAGAGGTAGAGAGCTTGATAATGTTATGAAGACCAAGTCCAGAGGACATGAGAACACCTCTGGGTAAGTCTCACTAATGTCTCCAATTCTGATTTCTACCTGATAATCCAAAGGCAAATGATTTGATATTTTAGCTTCATGACCATAATTTAAAGTATGGAATTAGTCAAGAAGGATGGGAGAGGTGGTCATTCATCCTTGTATTCCACGGATACATTTATTTTAAAATAATTATCTCAATATTTAATACTGAATTACTTTTCTCTTTGATTTGGGGCATTGATTTCTTTTTAAGGGTTGATGAGAGAGTAGAATTCTTTATCTAAAGAATGCAGCCTTCACATAGTTTCCAGTGTACATTTCCAGAATGACACAGACAACCTTTTGTTCATTCCTGGCTGCTCAACCGCAAAATAACCACACAGAAACTGTATTTATTAAATCAAACTGCATGGCCCGTTAGCCCTAGCTTCTTATTGGCTTGCTCTTACATCTTAATTTAACCCATTTCTATTATTGCCATGTGGCTGTGGCTTTCTGGCAAGCTTCTGTCCTGGTAAGGCTATGTGGCTTCTCCTGACTCCGCCTTCTTTCTCCCAGCATTCAGTTTAGTTACCCCCGCCTCTCCTCAGGCTAGCTCTACTCTACCCTATCATGGGCCAAGGAAGCTTCCTTATTTATTAACTAATAAAAGCAACACATACACAGAAGGACCCCCCATACCACAAGCCAGCTTGACTAAGACTCCTACAGTCACCTCTTCTGGTGGTTTCAGCTGCAGCCCAGGGTGAGGCTGGGCCGGTACCTAAATGGGAGGAAGGACTCACTGCTGCATCACCTGCCCAGAGCTATGATGGTTTTGGTACCCACTCCCCATTTCTACCATCCCCCACTGTCCGCTTGGAGCATAGTTTATGCTCCTCTTGATTTTTGATGGGCCAACATGTAGATCCAATAAGAAGTGGGGCATTATGTTTGCTACTATGTAATGACATTTTATATTTCTAAATCTTGCTCTCTGTTTCTTAAAATAACTTACTTTGAGACAAAAGGTTTCAACATGGGTACTATATGGGTTTATATGAGGGCATGCTTTCTTAATATTTTCAATTTTGTTAAATCATTATGTTGCTATCATTATTTTAATATTATTAAAGAAACAAACAAACAAAAAGATTGTATCAGTTAGTAATTTGTCTTCAGTCTGGTTCCGGTGACTAACTTCATCTAACTTACCTTGTTTCACTGTGGCCTGTTAGACGTGATCTAACTAGATGGATCTTCAGACAAGGCTTTGTTCAGGCTAAAGTGACGTGTGTCCCTGTGTTCTGAGAACAGAACAGAACAGAACAGAACAGAACAGAACAGAACAGAACAGACAGCACCTGTGTATGCATGTTGTTAGCAAATGCACACCCTGCCTTCATCGTGAGGTGTGAGGCAACTGCCATTTTCATTTAAAACTTTAAATGTCCACACTGGTGCTGAGAACTTTACATTTATTGCTTCTTAATATCCAAGCTATTATTCATTTGATTACTGTTTTATTTTAATGACATTCATTGGAACTCATTTCCTTTTCCAAAGGAAACAAGACCTTGATGGACTGATTAAAGTGAATCCTGAGACACAGACATATATGAAGAGGTAACGTGTCTAGAGTGTCCCTCGGCCAGGCATCATATGCATTGGAACGCCAGTGTTCACGATTGGGACAGTGAATGGAACTTCAGGCCCAATTTTTATTTTCTCCAACATGGCAGCTTGGAAGGAGTAACGCACAGGCTTGTTTGCATTACTTTGGTCGCTTGTGCTTTGGTGGCATTTGTTACCTGGTGGTTTTGAGAAATTACAAGACAGTTTTGAATAAGTGTCTCAGCTATGACATCCCACTTTGCATTCATGTGTGTGTGTATGTATATATAGTGTGTGAAGTGTATGTGTGAGAATTATATCTATAAAAGTGTGGAAGTGAGTCTATGAGTAGAGGTATACATGTGGGTACGTAAGAGTAGAGAATATATACATGTATGTATATGTGTATGTGTGTATACAGGACGGTGTGCATGTGTGTATGTACATGTGAAACTAAACTTGTTGCTGTGTAGCTAAAAATGGTCTATCAAATAATTCCATGAGCCTGGCGGTGGTGGTGCACGCCTTTAATTCCAGCACTCGGGAGGCAGAGGCAGGATGATCTCTGTGAGTTCGAGACCAGCCTGGTCTACATGTTCCAGGACAGGCTCCAAAACCACAGAGAAACCCTGTCTCAAAAAAAAAAAAAAAAAAAAGAAAGAAACAAAAAAAAATGATTCCATGAACTCTTTTTCACTTAGTTAACTCAGGATATATTATTTGTTCATTCTGAAATGTGTCACCAACGCCCCAGAGGCAAAGACTCATCTAGCTAAAAGCTTTTGCACACAGTGCCAAGCTGCCCAGCTTTTGTCTGTGTGGTACAATCAGAGGCACAACCACCCAGTGAATTTGGCAAAACAACTAAGTCTTGCATCCTCGCCGAGAAACAAAACAAAACAAAACGTTGGTGTCTTTGACTCCTTAAGTGGTTCAGGAAGATAACAGATGTTGATGCAAACAGGGAATCTGAGAGCCCTGGTTCAAGGTCAGCTTCTGACTGTCACTGGCCCTGTTTACTCAGTGCCTTAAGTTACTTATACACTGCTGTGACAAAGACCACGGTCAAAAGCAACTTGGGGAGGAAGTGGTTTATTTTACCTCTCGGTTTATATCAGAGCCAATCTCTAGGGGAAGTCAGGGCAGGAGCAAAGAGGGCAGGAACCCTGAGGCAGACACTAGTGAAGAGACCACAAGGAAGTGATGCTTCCTGGCTTGCTCCTCACGGCATGCTCACTATAGTTATTTATACCATCCTGGACAACCCTACCCAGGGGTGGCATCACTCGCCTGTGTGGTAGGGGCACCCACATCAAATAGCAATCAATAAAATGCACTAACGTTTTGATCAAAGGCAAATCTGGTAGGAGCATTTTTCTTGGTTGAGGTTCCCTCTTCCAAAATGACTCTAGCATGCGACAAGTTGACGTAAAACAAGCCGTCATACTCACCTACCAAAGAGGAATTAATTATACTACTCTCGTGTCCAACACATGCTAGATATAAAAAACGAATCAGAAGTTAGTGATAGAATTAGTTCAGATTAATTATATTTTTATAATGGTCTAGACAGTCTACATACATTTAGTTCATTTTGGCATCTAAAATTATTTTCCTAATTAATATTTATTTAAAAACTTTAAACTGTGGCCTATCAATCTTTATATTAAAATGGGTATGTGCTAATGTGCATATCTTTCAAATGCTTGCTTGCATGTGTGTTTTCCCATATAAGCTCATGTGTATGCTTACAAGTGAAGATGTGTGCCTGTGTGTGTGCATGTGGACATGTACATGAATGTGTGCATGTATTTTTTTTGTACAAGTGAATTATTGTATATATAAAAATAGTGATTGAGTGTTCTTTTGTGTATGTATATGTGAGTACATGTATATATCTATGTACATGTGTGAGAGCACATGTGAAATGTGTGTCTGTATTTATATGTATATATGTTTTATTTGGATTTTTAAAGATAGTACTTTTAGTTGACTTTTTACATCCTGAGACTCTAGATATTTTAAGTATATAGTTAGGGACCCTGTCAGTGACAAAGCGTGAGAACCTAAATTCAGTTCTCAGCATCCTTGAAAAAGTCAGACATTGCGGCATGGTCCTGCAAGTTCAGCCCTAGGAAGGGAGAGACAGGAGGATCCCTGGGCATAGTCTGACTAGTCTTACCAAATTAGTGAGCTCTTTATTAAGTAAGAAGCTCTTTTCTTAAAAAATAAAAAATGAAGAGTGATATAGGAAAATACAAGAGATCAGCCTCTGGCAGGCACGTGTGCATGCATGCACATGTACACACACACACACACACACAGAGAGAGAGAGAGAGAGAGAGAGAGAGAGAGAGAGAGAGAGAGAGAGAGAGAGAGAGAGAGAGAGCATGCTTCCTTCTTTATTTGAAAGCTTTCACTGTTTTTCCATCTCTGGTGAAATAAAATTCTAACGCTTAGAGATAACCTTTTAGTTTTTTCAATAAAGTTGTATCAAATCAACCAATCAACCTTTTGTATTTCAGGCTCATTCTTGTTTTAAGGCATTTATACATGCTGTGCCCATTTTCTGGAGTGCTGCCACCATATGGCCTTCCTTTTAAATAGGTCACTTTTGGTGACTGACTGTGATTAAATCACACCCTCACTTGTCCTCAGCGTTGCAAACGCCAAATACACTTTTAAAGTACAGCATATACAGTTAGCTGAAAGTTGTGCCATCCACTTAGGTGTTTGTCTGTGTTCTGCTTTTCCCCAGTCTGGCGGTCTGTTTGGATCACATCTACCCCACCACTTGGCAGAGGCTAGATCATTGGTCTTTGCTATTTGTGGACTGCAAGAACATATAAATACTGATGATACATACACCATGAGGCAATGATTCGCCCAGTTTAACTTCAAATAGTATATCATTATAATAATTAGATTACCACATTAATTAGTTTTTTCTTATTGACTTATGCAATAGATTTTAAATCGCCCTATACAGTTTTTAGGGCTCATTTAATGTCTAAAGAGACTGAAGTCTACACAATATAATGAAGCAAACTCCTCAACTGACACTCTCTAAGGAAGGGTTTGTGGCACTTGCTGATCTATTATTTATTTGAACACTAAAATCTTCCACTTGTAACCTGGAATTTTTTCCCTAGGACCCTGTGATTCAAATCCCATAGGCTTGATTTAGGTGAAAAACATCAAAGGCTAATCTAGAATACAGCAATTGTTTCTGTGGAGTTAATTGTTTCATTATTGTCATAACGAGAGTACACATATTTTCTCTGTTGTCTTTAGTCTGAGTATCACATCTTGAGACAGCTGGATCAAAACTTGGGTCCACATCTGGTTGCTTCTAAATCCTGTATCTTTGATGTTGTGTAAATGAAACCTCAGAGACATCTTCTTGAGGTCATGAAGTGCGGGGAGAGTAGAGAGGCTTGCTTCTGAGGAGGCTCTTCTCTCCATGTGGCTCCCTCTGTAGATCAGAGGCATGTTTGCTGGCGAGAGGTATGTTAAAGCACATGCATATGCAATAGGAGAGGCCTCGTTACAGGAAGATCAGAAGCAGGCATGTAGTTAAGGCCTACAGTCAAGCACTCAAAGTGTTTCCAGCAACTGTAGAGTTCATAGCTCAGCCAATATGGCTTGCATCTTGGTCCATTTCAGAAGTCAGTAGACTTTAGTTTTTTTAACCATTTGTTTCTAAAACAATCGGCTACAATGTGTCATTACCAGAAATAGAAAGCAGGTTGTATATGGTGCATTTTAAACAAATTAGTATATTTATCTTAATGCAGTTTAGTAATATAAAACTTGCTAAAAATATCAACAAAATGTAGATTTTAAAAGTTTCTTTTACACATGTTGGAGGTTGCTACCAAGAGAGAATGATTTCTGGAATGTTCTACGGGGCAAGTGTATGGTTTCATTAAAAAATGTTTTATATACTTGGAAGTGGTTGACAAATATCTGCAAGATTAAAATATTGTCTCACTCTTTGGCATGGTCTCTATGAGTGTTTATACTGTTTCTGAGACTTAATTAATAGTTTCATTCTACTAGTTATTAACCTCTCCATTTCTTCAATGTTTTAAAGGGGCCAGAGCCTTGACAACCTGATCAAAGTAACCCCAGAAGTAAACAAGAGTAACCACGGGTGAGAGAATTATGTCTTAGCTCTCTTCTTTCCTGTATCAGTAGTAACACTTATGAATAGAAAAGCTGGGGTACGTGGACCCAGAAAGTCAAAATCTCATTGCTTACTAGATGGGGTTCTGAGTAAGTCCCACGGACACTGAGCAGCAGCTGGCCAGCCACAGCATGAGGGTCATGGGCTTATTCTATCATTGGCAGCAGGGAGCAAGAAGGATCAAGCGGAATAATGGTTATAAGATCCCTTTAAAACAAAAGTGCTGTAGATGGAGATTATTATCAAAACACCATTTAGTTGTGGCTACAGGCTTAGCATGGCTGCTTCTCGAGGCAGGATAAGTTTTTGGGTAAACCATTGCTTTGTTCCAAAATGAGCTGATGAAAAACAGTCTCCTTCATGTCCTAATGTTGGGGTTTGTTTTGAGAATAAGTGGGAAAGGAAGCCAGCATAGCACTGATTTGTTCGAAGGCTGAAACTTTACTCCTGTAAGCTGAAGATTTAGACCAGTATTGATTTCTATCAAAACTTAATGGTAAAATTTATTTTGAGGACATATAGGTTCATAGGATTCAAGGTGAAATGACCAGTTGATTTAATTCCATTTTTATTGAGTGGATTTTTTTTTGTCTGTTTAAAGTTCCAAAGACGTTAATCAGTTTTCAAGGGTAAGATTTAATATGCTCCTCCTTCTGGGTTCATTATGGGTGATTATGAGGGTAATGAAGTCATCAGTTAAGCTGACTGATCCCGACTGAAGTGACAACCCTGACCCCTCATGTCTGAGACATTAGAGGTTTTGCTCGGGTGATTTCCAGTACAGGGAAGGTACCTGTGATTATTTAGGTTCAAGTTGTTTTTCAATAATTACAGAAAACATTTTTATTGGTACGCTCCTTTTAGCAGAAGGACAGTGTAGAAGAGGGAAGAGCCTGGTAGGCTAGAACCCACAGACGTAGAGGCTAGGTGTCATTTTGGACTAGTCAGGACTGGTCAGTTTGTTTGGACTTTGGCTTTGTCATTAAATAAGGAACCAGAGCTGTCTGTTCACTGGATACTTCCAGAACCAGTTCCATTACTAAATTTCAACAAAATGGCTGTTGTCAAGGCTTTAGTAAATCTTTTATAATAAAATATCAGTTTTAACAAGTAATTCCAACCATTTTATGTAACTTAATTAATAAGGTTCTTTCTTCTTTATTCTTAAGGAGTCAAAATCTTGACAGTTTCATCAAAGCTGCACCCACAACCAACAGAGCTGACCAAGGGTAAGAAACTTTTCTCTCTCCTTTGCTCCATTTCACTCTCGAAAGTCCGAGAAACACTTTATACTGTCCTAGAGACATCCCTCAGAGGGGATGCAAAAACAGAAACAGGTATGTCACCAACCTGTAGGCTGGTCCTGAGCCTGGAACTATGCAGGCTTCCCTGGCTGTGGACTGTGGTGGGAATCAGGAATTTCTTGAAATACAGAGGCGAACTCATTCCAATGTAGCGTTTGTATTCCATGCTTGGTGCTTAAAGTGAATCGAATTCCCGTGGGATAAAGCTGCATCCTAAAAGGATTTCTTAACACAAAGCAGCTGAAATCAAGGTCTGACTGTGGCAAAAGGTTCTCCCATCTTCTTCCTCTTTTCCATTTATTCCCTTTTTCTTTTCGTGTAAAACCCAACCAGCTCTAAAGCTAGGAAGTCAGTGTGTGTATGTGTGGTGTGTGTGTGTGTGTGTGTGTGTGCATGCACATGCGTGCACGTGTGTGCATTTGTCCTCTCATGTTTGTGGATCTATGTCTGATTCATGTATTGTGAGTATGTCAAGGTCAAAGGCTGACATAGTGTGTCCTCCCCAGCTGCTTTCACCTTCTGTTCCTGAGGCCATATCTCACTTGAAACCACAGTTTCACAGTTTCACGGGTAAGGCTGGTCCAGCTAGAATTTAGCTTCTCTAGGTAGCCAGCATGCTCTGGAGAATATGTCAGTCCTCTCGCCATCCGTCTTATCTGCCTAGCATCTCACACAGGTCCTAGGAGTTCAAATTACAGTCTTTATGCTTGTGTGCCAAGTGTTACCCACTGTATTCTAGTAAGTCTTTATTATAAAACCAGTAAGCAGGAGGAATTTGTCCTGGGTGGACTTAGTCAGATGACCCTTGGCCTAGATAGTTTGTATTTGGAAGGGAGAGGTGGTTCAATTCATAGTGTAGTTGAAGCAACGTCTTAAACACAGCCGGCTTCCCTGCCTTGCATAAGTGCTTCCATCACAGTAAGGCTAAGCTGAAGATGTTGTCATCCTGAGTCTGAATCTTTAGTGCTAAGTTGTCCTGAGATTTTCAAAACCCAAATAAGAATAAAACCTCTTGTCAGGCCCTGAATTTAAAGACCAAATAAACACTTTACAGTCAAAGTGTAAAGTTCAGAGCAGAGCACCTGGGCTTGAGTTCTGAGAGACCATTCTAACTGTAGAGGATCCATGGTGATGATGCATAGACTTTGTGTCTGGTTCGTTTTAGTGTGTGATTTTTTTATTTGTAAATTGTATATAATAAAGTTTATTTAAGAAGAGGATTCAAGTCCTGATGGAGTTTCAAATACTAAATATGAATTTGATTTGATATTGAGGTTGAGAAGTATAAAATGATTGTTCTTAGTTGACTTTGTCAGATATTACTTCAGGAGCCTAGACTTGTACATTCTGACCAAGGTGACCTCCTAAGCAAACAAACCAACAAACAAAAATTTCCTCCAATTTATGCAGAAGGAGTAGGCTTATTTGGTTAAAGATATTTAAAAGGTGGGAATAAAAAATGAGAACTGATTTGCTGATCTGTAAAATACTAGACTGGGTTTTCTTTTATTATTGCTTCCATTTATTTCACTATACTTTTGTTTAAGATGATAATACTGATGCTAATTCAGTGTAATTACTACTTGAGAAATTCCTTGTGACACAGTAATCACATAAGTAGGCTCATACTGCAAATTATTAGTTAATAAGTTATTTGTATAAAATGAATAAACTGAAGAATATCAGTTTGCAGCTCTCATAATCACAAGGATTAATATTTAAATGACGTGTGAGAAAACTGGTACTGTAACAGGTTTATAGTAAATTAGAATATTTTTTGCACGACATTGAACTTACTTCTGTTCTTGAGAAATCAAGACCATTTATATATTGGAGCAACAGTTAACAAAAGCACGGCAGAGAAACTCCAAGCTATCACTCATAAAGCGGCTGTGAGGGTAATGTTGGTATGGACCATGCAGATGGAAGGAATAACTGCAAACATGGTGGGGAGGAAGGATGCTCAGGGAAAAAGCCCAGTCTTCACCTGTGGCTGTCCTGAGTTCCATCTGAAGGATGCTCAGGGGAAGGAGGGAGTATGAATGATACATGTTCAGAGTTCAAATTTGGTTTGCCTTCAGCATTTCTTGAGAATTTGCTCCCAGGAAGTGTCTTAATCCTTGTGAATTTTTTTTCTAATCATTGGTAATAGCCACCCCATGCATTCTCAGAGCTCGAGAAAGGTAGGAGAAGTTAGAGCTCAGGACCAGCCTGCTGCTCTACAAAGGGTGTAGGGAGACCCTGTCTGAAAACAAAGCAAAATACACAAGTAATTAGTGACCTGAGATAGACACTTTATAACACGTCTTATTTATTCTATATTCCCATTGCATGTGTATGCGTGTGCACACACAAAATTTTATTGACTTTGACTCTTTCTTTTACTTCGTCTTAGCTATCAACACAGTCTTGATGATCCTATTACTACGCATTCCAAAGCTGTCAAACCTACTGCTGGGTAAGAAAAAATATTATCATTTATTTCCCTTTCTTCTTAACTCAACACAATATGAATATAAATACCATACTCATTTTATGGAAAAATCAAATGAAATTCCTAAAATATCACTATTTTCATATGTACCTGGAAACTTCCGTGTTAATTTCAGTATTTAGACATAGCAAAACACAGACAGTGGAGCACTGTACATAGTGGGGCCTTCTCCTAGTCTTAAGCAAAATGAAGATGGGGCCACCCAAGAAGGGGAGGTAGGGACATAGCTGGCACAGGAGCCGGCACATTCTGTTTGCTTTGCAAAGCATTAATGTTAGGCTTTTGTTTCTGAAGTTAAACAGTATTAACACTAGCTATGGAATAAACCAAGATGCTTCCTCATTTGGTGTATCATGAGTAGTGCATCTACCTCTTTGTAAAGGAGCATTTTGGCGGGGACAGTAGCTTTTTGTTTATTGTAGGGCTTGGGCTTACAAAACAGATATGAATTTAAATTTAATAAGCCTTTAAGTAGTTTCTCTAAGACAATTAAATTCGCTTTTTGTCTCTGATTATAAACAGTTCAAGTTATTTATATATGTACATTTTGTAGAGAGTCTTAGGAATGTTTTCACAATTTCCATTTTTAAGTCTGTTGACTCCTATAAAATTCATAAAGCCTTCCTGATGGGAAGAAGGAAATGTGGAAAATCTTAGCCCGGTTGATGGGAACGTTTTGAATACCACCGATCCAGCTGAATCCATTTTGAAAAGAGGGAATAAGAACCCAGAGAGGTTAAGTGATTTGTCCCGGGTCCCGGAGAAAGTTAAGGAAAGACAGATAGTAGTTCTGCCGTTGCTGAGGCAGTAACTAGTCACCAAACACCTCCAGGGTTCACAGCCATCACTAGGTGTCATTTGCTTGCATGTTATGGATAATTACAGGCCTGGACACCAAAAAGAGAATTCGGTCGTCATACTCAATCTTATTAACAGCAGGCAATTAGCATAGATTAAAGCTAATTATGTACCAGGGCAGAGAGATGTTACGCTAAGACAATAATAGGTTGTCAGTTTAATATATTGCATTTAGGAGCCCTGTGAACTGCTGGCTGAATATAGAATGTATTCTCAGTGAGTTGCATTTAAAAAGAAAAATGAAATGAAAGGCTGTTGTAATAAACATTACATGCAGCAACATTTGTGTTCCTGCAGTTGATGTTAGGGAAGACAGAGCGGTAGGCAGTGTCTGGGGTCCCAACTCCTCATTTCCACACGACAATACTAAGTAATACCTGAGCACAGAAATAAATAAATAAATAAGTAAATGCTATTTTGTAGTTGAGAAAGAAAAAAAGGAAAAAAAAAAGAGCGGATCGCCAAGAGGAGAGTGGTCAGTTTATAGAGCATTCATCTAATTTAACAGTGAGCAACCGAGTTCAGTTCAGTTCTTCAGTCACTATTACATCATGATTCTGATGGATTGCTGGAAATCAGCTTTTGAGCTCCCATTTTCTTTATTAATAAGATCTTTAAAATGGCAAAGGCTTGAGAATAAGTTTGCCCTCATAATGGTGAAAGACTGAAGAGTTACTCCTTAGATATGCCTTGTGGAATGCAGAAGAAGCTTGCCCTGGAAATACAATGTGGGATCAGCAAGTTCTCCTGAGCATGAGTCTTGTGTCCTGTGTTGGGTGGGAAAGATTCCATTGCAGTTCTCCCCCACAACGGATCACATAACAGAATCCTTCCCATCGTCTCTCACCTTAATACTTTTGTCTTTTTCTCCTTAAAGACACCAAGATCTTGATAAGTTCATCAAAGTGAATCCCGCTGTTCTTGAGAACAATCAAAGGTAATAAAACTGATTTTTAACGAGTTTGGGTCAGGAAGAATATTCTGTTTTATTACTCCAGGTACAGTTAAAGCATTGTCCTTACTAAAATAACTTTATTATTAACCCATTTTTTCCTGTTATTCTGCTGAAAGAAACCATGAACTGGATGGCATCATCAGACGGAACCCTGCAGTGACCAGACAAAGGTAGTCAGAGCAAAGCAGCTAACTCATGGTTTCACCTGCTTTCCTTGCATGAAATGGGTTTTTCACTATTGCCGTATTGATCTAGCATCACCCAATTACCATTACTTATCCAACCCCTTTCACTATTTTAAACAGCCAAGATTTGGACAAGCTTATTAAAGTGAAGTCTCCTGCTCTCAGAAACACAAATGGGTAGGTGCCTTTACCTGACTGATTTTGCAGTATTCCCAAGGTCCTGGGGTAGGAATTTTCTTTGTGTGTGTGTGTTTAAGGTTTCTAGTTTTCTGTAGTTTTCAAAGAACTCATTTTAAGCTGTGTGCACCTTGTCAACATGAAGACATATTGAACACTTCTTAAATAAATTGCTTGGTTTTGGAGTGAGCTCTGAGCTTCTTATTTATACTAAGACACCCCAATGTTTGTTTCTTAAAGATAAAGGAATTTTTTAATGAAAAATGAATAAAACTAAATGAGAAGAAAAAATATTTTGAGGAAGCTAAACCAACTTGGAAAGTTTATTTAAGTTCATCAAAATCCCAAACCTCAGCTTGCCTGGGCTCACAAAGTTTTCTAGCACACTTTAATCTTGGGCTTCCACCTTGAGGTTGAAGCTATTGTCCAATTTGCTATTTTTAAATTAAAGTAGAATTAAATCCTTTCCCTTTTCTCTTTCCTCATATATCCCTCTAAGATACCCTTACTGCACCTCTCTTATGCCCCCAACTGTCAAATTAATAGTCTCTGTACACACACACACACATATAAATACAACCTACAAGTGTCTACTTTTGTTGTTTGTGTGTAGATAGTTTCAGGGACAACTTCTTTGGTTAAACAGTAAGGTAGCTCGTTCCTTGGAGAGGCTAATTCTCCCTGTATCCTCAGTCACTGGTTTTCTATTCTTTTGGCCTCGGGATGGGATCCTGTGATATTTCTCCTCCTCACATTAGCGTATCTGTTAATATTGTCAGTGTTCTAGCCTTGTTTATGCAGTCATTTCTAGGAGAGACCGTGTCACAGCAGACTTCCTGACCTTCTGGCTCTCACAGTCTTTCTGTAGCATCTTTCATGCTGCTCCATAAGCTATAGATACAGGAACTGTGATACAGATCTATCCTTTGGGACTGGGATCCCAACTGCCTGTCGATCTCTGCATTGTGACTGGTTGTGATTTTCTGTGATGATCTCCATTTGCTATAAAGAGAAGCTTCCTTGATGCGGGGGGGGGGGGGAGGACACTCAATTTTATCTATGGGTATAAGGATAAGATTTAGAATGTAGTAAGAAATTATGCGGGTTTAGCAAAGTGATGTTAGTAGATTATTTTCTAAAGTCCACAATTACACTAGCCTCAGGAAGATATCTAGGTTTCTAGTACCTTGTGTTGAGTGGGCCCTAAGTCCAATTTTTTGGGTGAATTTTTTTTTTGTTATGGGTAGCACTTTTGGGAGATTCCCAGCCATGTTGGTAACAGGTCTAATAGCCAAGTTATGCAATAGCTAATAGGTGAACATGGTAGTAATGCACATTTATATCAGCGAATTAAGGTTCATATTATTTTACTTACTTGAAATTTTATCATAATAATTATATAACTGGTACTTATGGCCTAATATTTTGAGATAAAGGCAACAAATTCTTTATAAAAAGTATTATGAACCCATGATGAGAGAAAGGACGATGTGGTCTTACCTTGTTTCTTACATCAATAACTTAATTTCCTCTTGTTTCTTTTTATCACTGGGGTATCAGGGTCTTGAAATTATGACATCCTGAAAATAATTAAAGAGCAACGGCTACTCCGAGGATACTTACTGAGCACCTGGGCAGTCAGACTAAAAATTGCATATGATTTATCACCACTATACCCCATGCTATCTATCTATCTATCTATCTATCTATCTATCTATCTATCTATCTATCTATTCCTGTGCTTTATTTTGTAGAGGAAAGTATAACTCAAAGATAATAAATTGCCCTTCAAATGAAAAAAAAAAGGCAGTAGATATGAACTCAGATTTGACATTATGACCTTGAGGGGGACCAACAAATATATGTGGTTAAGTGATCCTAGGCTCTCTAATAAGACCTATTTACTTCTTAGAATTAGAATTAAATAAGACAATTTCTTCACAGCGGTAATTATTGGGGTGGACTTTTTCGTCATCTGTAGAGTTTTGGGAGATGATCAGTCTTGTTGGTAACAGGTCTAATAGCCATTATGTGCAATAACCAATAGGGGAACATGCCTCCAACTCCTGCCTCTTGCCTATCACCTTTGGCAATGGCATTTCTTACAAGAGTCTTGCCTCTGCTTTTACCACAAGAGGAGGTAAACTTCATAAAGGGTAATTTGTTTTCTAGCAACTCCTTTTCTAGAAATCCATAGAAAGAGGACATTGTTTTCTTAAGCAAATATATTACTATTCAAAGTATTTAAAAATATTCTGGGCATCATAGAATTCTATGATGGCAGCTGGGTCAGCTAAGCTAAGCTGTCTGATATTCTTTAGCAGTGTACTAGACTGGATGCTGAGTGGCCAAGGATTATCACGCAGCAGACACATAGAAAAGACTGAGTTGTTTGAGAAGAGTGTATTTATGGATCGATTCAGCCACCTGTATCTACCGTGTAACCATGCTGCCCTCTTGATTTCAGCATAGGTAAAGAAAAAGAGATTTTAAAGCCCACAAAGCCCTTTTACATCAGCGCAACGCGACACAGGCACCAATTAGTTCGTAGCAAAGCAGCAGTGAATCCGGTCTTTTGTGTGACTTTGCTGACACTTCCCGCAGCTGCATATTTAATTCACAGTTAGGGACTGAATAAACTTCACTCATCCATCAGAAATATATACAAGCATCCTTGAAATCCCAGGAACACAGCAACCAGAGCAAATGCAGATGTGCCCAGAATGTCCATTTATTCCAGGAGAAATAGCATAGCTTTTAGTAGCGATGTGAACCAGCCCTAAAGAGCGATCCCATTATCTGTCGTCGATAAGCAGATGTTAGATTAATTATTAATATTCTAAACTTCTGCTTTCAAATAGGTACTGAAAAACACTTCAAATGTTTTTATTTGCTAGTGATATTAATGATTTTTTTTTCTAGGAAAATGGACATCGTTCACATAAAGCAAAAATAATTTCTATTTGTGGTTATAGTTCCACTTGTCAATATTTTTTCGGTTTGCTAACATACACCTTCCGAGATTTCAGTTTCTGTCTCCCTGCTGTCTGTGTCTCATAGTCCTGCTAAAGACATAAACATGGGGTAAGAGACTCCTGCTTCACTTCCCGTGACCAAGCCATCTTTCTACCAGTCATCACTGTCAGATGCTTCTCCCAACAGTCTCCAGAAGTGGTTCTGCATCTTCCACAGTCCTGCTGCTGCCATGGTTACCTTCCAGCCTTCTGACTGCTCTGCAGCTAGTCATGACTTCCAACTTTCAATCTGTCCACAGGGATGAATAGTGATCTTCCTAAAACAGGAATCGGATTAGGTCATTCTTTGGAGTATAATCCTCCAGTGGCTTCCCGTTACCATAGAGTCACGGCCATGCTCCTTAACCTTGTCTCCAAAGACCACCATGGTCTATGTTTTGTGTGGTCCCCTCCCCCAGTTCTCTCATCCCCATCCTTTCCCATCCCCATCCTCTCTGACTTGTGCTCTTTGTTCCCCTCTCACTGCTGTATCAGAGAAGCTACTGTATATCCTTTGGGTACAGCCCCAGTGCTTCTCATTCAGACTCAGGGAAGCCCCTTTCAACCTCTAATTGTACAACACTCCATATATGCACTTTTGAGTGAATTGTTATTTAATACTCTTTCCATCTATAGGGTCTTTAAAGACATATGGATGGAATTATCTTGTTTCTTTCTTTCCTTATGTATTGCAGTAACATAATGACACTATGCTGATACATATTAGATATTTAACAAATATAATGCGAATTGAAGACTAAGCATCAGAATAATCAATGTTTTATGATAGTCTACATAGGTAAAATCTATTGTATTCAGTGTCCAGCATTCTAATTCTCCATCACTGAAACTAAATAAAAGAAATCTATTTTTTATGGCTGATTTTTTTACTTGAGCCAATAACTGTTTTCTGCTTATGACAATCTCAAGAAATTGCAATGACTCAAGAAAACTAAAATTACTAGTTATATGTTAGCTTTAAAATATTTAAATAATATGCAGATCTATTAATTTCTTGAATATAAAAATCCTTAAGAATATAAAATACTCACTGACGAGATTTATAGAAATATGCAAATGTCATCCCATTTTGCTATGTCAATGAGTTAAGCAATTATGTGAGTTGTTTCACTAAATGCAATATTCTTCTCAAGGAGACTCATTTTGAGCTAAAAATCTAATGCCTAGTATCAAATCCTGACATAAAAACATAGTTAAATTTTGTGTGAAAACTTCTTAATTTTGTAAATGTGTTGGACACTTTACAGAAGCAGATTAAGTTAGCAGTGTAAAGAGAAGCATATTGTGCCCTATTAATAATCCCCTCCTACATGCACACGCGAGGGGAAGAGTGGTTAGAACTGAGCTAATAACTTTCTCATATTGGAATATATCCTAGGAACGCTAACAAGCAACAGTGTCCATGGTTCCCCTTGATCTGCCCTGTAAGGGAGTGCCACACCCCTTCACACAACAATGAATTACATTGTTACAACATGGAGAATTCTTATACTGGAAAGTACGTATATGGCTTCATACCTTAGACAACTCACTGTCTGCCCCACATGTACTAAAATCTTTATTTTAAAATAATTTTTAGACCTATGGATGTATCTTAGCAGAAGTCATGTCTAGAATATGTAAGACCCTGGGCTTGATTCCTACCACTGAAATAAAAACCAAAATAAAAATGAAAGACTCACAAAGACTTTTGAATCAAGCATTTGCTCAACCTCGCAACATTTGGCCTGGACTTCTATAAAAAACATTTATCTTCCACACTTTGACTCACAGCTTTTCATCTTTTGCCACAGTGTGAAAGACACCACGCAATCCATGTGATCTTAATTAAAGAGTGTTTATTTTTGCATCTGTAAATTTGGACAGTTTAAACTTCCCTTACTGGATCTACCCATCTCTCTCTTGCCACCCATCAGTGTGCATACTCCAAGCAAATGCACACTGTGTGATTTTCATCATTTAGTTTGCTTTAAATATTGGTATATATTATTCAAACTAAAGCCTTATAGCTTACACAAACAAATTTGATGTGTGCTGTTATCTAATAAAATAAGAAAATCCTACGAAACCTCCAATAATATATATGGTTTCTTTGGTGACTCACCCTACTTTGGGAGTATCTTCTTTGAACGCATGTATAAGCTCAGCTTTTGAGTTACCTGTTGTGGCTGTTGAATCTGCAAGAATCTGGCTTCCTCTGTCTCCTCAGGTGGAGCCATTCTTTTTCCCGAAGCTATGACCCAAAGAGCAAGCGTGAAGTGTGTAGGCAGAGAAATATTCAGTATCTGTAGCACTTACAAGTGTCCTGTCATTTTAATCGAAGATGTCCACCCTCAGGCTGAGAAACTCAATACAGACTTTCTAGGGATACCTTAACAAAACCAATATACTAAATCGCCTAAACACACGAAGGATGCTTACTCACAGTTCTTGAGGTGAGAAATCAGAGATCAGGTCATCACGGCAGGGTTGGCTTCCTCTTGGACTAAGAGGGGGAAATCTCTTCCAGACTTTTCTCCTTAACTTGTATCTTCACATATTTATGTAACACATGTTTTGTTCAAGTCTATATTAGAACTTACTCCCAAGCTGTAAAAAGCCACGGATTCCTTAAGTGTAGCACCTGGTTCCCTCAGTGTCATCACGGTGGAGAGAGAATAACTTCCTCGCACAGAATTCTGATTTCCCAATATTCACATATCCTGTGATCTTTTACCATCTACTTCTTCCAGTCTGAATGAATACTATCATAGTCCATGGCTCAAGCTTTCAACCACTTAGTGAAAGCTGTTAAGGTAATAAAGCAGCCTCTGGTACCACAATGGTGACTTCTGTAGTTTTTAGTGAAAGCTATCCTTTAGGCAAATTCAAAGCCTTCTATCTGCATTACAAACTTGCAGCGTTGATCTTATACAACTTTGTCTGATGGTGTGGAGAAATTCAGTTTTGAATTTTATGTCATTATTCATATTACAACATCAGCTAATATTCCTGAAATATTGTACCTTTACATAGTTTCACTGGCGTACTTAAACTCACATTAAAGATATTTAAACTAATCTCTACATTTTTAAGAGCACACAAGTAGTTTTTTCTTAAGTGTGAAGTTTAAGAAGCTAAAGCATGCTGGCTAATTTCCATAATTTATCAATTATTAATGACCTGGATACTATTAACTTGCTCTCCACATAAATATGAGGATACGGTATTGTATATTGCATCCCCAGCAATGTTAATTTTGTAAGTGAGAATGTACATGCTGATTCTTTATACGGTAACTTTACTTGAATCCAATGTTTTAGAGCATGAGAAGAAAGAATTTTAGGAACGAGGATGAATTCCAGAGCTGTGAACATTTAGGACTGAAATGAAAATGAAGAAGCCCCTCAAGACTGTGGAGTCAATAACCCATTTGACTTCACCACATTCTCCTAACTGTTTGCCCCCAGCTGCTCACCACTAACCCAGGGCTCCATCCCCAATCCTATCAACTACTGCTCTTCTCTTACTGGGTTCACTCACACCTGAATCATTTTGCCAGGACTTGTGTGTCTCTCATTAAAACCATGTTGTATTGGCTATTAGGAGCCTCATTTAAAAAACGAAGCCTAAGGAATTATGTAGGGGAAGTAAGGGAGGAAATGGGCCTCACCGTTATTCTGAAGTGGTTCTCCTCGGTAGGTTTCACGACAAAGGCTTTTCCAAACTCATGAAAACAGCAAACAGGATCTTTCAATATTATATTCATATGCAAATGACTAATCTGCGCTAACAGGCCAGAAGACCCTGTCTGTCATAGAAGATGTAAAATCACTGAGACAGAGATTTAAGAACAGACTCTATCTTCTGACTTTTGTATTCGATTGTTAGTCTGAGGTCTTATATTTGTGCAACCCAATTGCATGGATGAAATCTGTAGCTAAAAATGTTCAAGCGTTGGACATTTTGTACTGAGTTCAGTTCTTCGTTCTCCTGTAAGTTGGCTCACGAGCTTTGGGAGACTCGCTCCGCCTTTCCGAGCTCCAGATGCCAGCCCTAAGATCTCGTGAGATCTGAATGAGATACTTCACGTGAACAGGCAATTGATGCTTCAGGACTCAAACCTAGCGCTCATTCAGTCTGAGTCGGACACTTTTCAGATTGGATTTCCCAAGCTTTCCAAAAGTGATTTCTCTCTCACGTACAAAATCCACACCCATTTAAATGGTGCTAGAATCAAACCCAGGACCTTCTGTATGCTAGGGAAGCCCGATATCCGTCCTTCAGGGCTAATCCAGCCATACTTGCATACTTACCTATGAGTCAATAGATCAAATAACTCAATATCCAATTTCCAGTCTTCTAAACACTTATAAACCATAAGTGACTATGTCTAAGATGATGTACTGATTTTTATTGAAATTTTTTAATTTCCTAGAATTGTGTTATAACTAAATCATGCACACACACTATGCTTTTGCTTATATTTATTTATATATATTTTTAGAGACCGGGGCCTAGAAAACTTAACTGGAGTAGATTCTCATCTATCTGAAAATAAAAATGGAAGGTAAGATTGATTGCAATTGGCTTTATTTCTTAGGAATTCCTTTTTTACCCGAGTGATTGTTTAGAACATTTTCTGGGGGAGTTGAATTGCATTATAGCATTTAAATATAAGTACTATCCAAGTCAGAAAAGTTATGGCACCATATGCTTAATTTCTAACACAGAAAAATTAACAGAGTTCTAATTGTGCTAGAATTTCTCAATTCTGTTGCTCCATCCTATTACTTGGTATAAAAGGTGTCATGAAAATTCAAAGCCCTTTATTTGGGTTGTGAGCATTTATTTTTACCCACTGTTACTTGGTAGGTTTTCAGGAGGGAAGGAAGTACCCTGCGACTCTCTTTTTGGATATCTCATGTTCAAAAGCACACACAAATTTCTCATTGCAACAAAGAAGAATTTCATTTTGAAATTTCCTTGTACAACAGAGTATAAGGGCTTTCAAACCATCAGTGTCTGTTAATATCCTGTCTGTCAATAAGAGGTGTTAGGATAGATGCTCTACCTCATTGCTACACACAACTTAAGTTAGGAAGGGACTGATAACTTCTTCATGTGTAACAGTGCTTCTATTTGTGTTTGAAGGACTCTAAAATACTCATTTTCTTTTTAACCTTCCCAAGGTGCCTCTAGTTTTCCTAAGCTTCTGTAATTGCATAAGAAATAATATTGTTGATTTTTTTTTTTTTTTGCAAAGAGTGGAATGACTATGGAAAGAGGAGCTGACTGTCTTTCCTTATACTTGAATTTGACAGACTTCATGTTGCTCTGGTTCTCCAGATCATCTGTACCTTTTTGCTGTGACCCCAACAGAGTCTCTGAGTCAATAAAAGAGAAGTGTTCAGTGGGATCCGCGGCTCATAGAAACACTTCTGCTAAACACATCCCCTCAACACATCCACTGAACACATCCCCTGAACACATCCACTGAACAACACATCCCCTGAACACAGCCCCAAAACACATCCACTGAACACACCCACTGAACAACAAATCCACTGAACACATCCATTGAATGCCCACATCCCCTGAACACATCCACTGAACACCACATCCACTGAACACATCCACCGTGGGGAACTGCCTAGGACTGACAATAAACCTCACCCAAACATTATTTGGAAGTGATCAATGCTATACACAGTCTGAGTGGTTAAATGCAGTTAAGGAACTTTCCTTTTAAGTTGATTTAAAAGCTGCTCTGTTTTCTGTTCATGAAATAAGGTTTTATAGAAAGGATTGGTGGGGAAACCGTATCTGGAAGATTGGAGCTTCGATGTATGAATTTTAGGGAACTTAATTCAGTTGATAGCAGCAGTGTTTACATATTATTGCCCACTTTGGTTTGTACATTTTATAAATGGGTGATGTTTTAAGTTTGCACCACCAAAGGCAATGTAAATTCATTACAATGTCACTCATCACCTTCTTCTTTGAAGCTATACATTTCTTAAATTTTATGGTGTGTATTATGTGACTCAAATATAATTAATATATATTTAGTGGGACTGGAGTTTGAAACCAGTGTCTTATGAAATCTAGGAAAGCACTAAATTCGAATATTCTTCAACAGTTCAGAACCAAGTTTATTATTCTTGGAATGATGTAGCATAATAATTACAAGAGAAAAAAAACCGATGACAGTATTGGTCTCACATTTTTATTACTTTGCAATTTACTTTTAGGAAAACAGAGAGAAAACTTACATCCTAACTTCACTCCATAACTTCATACTTGGAAATTTTAGTGCCTATTTAGCCAAGACTAATTTTTATATAGTTTAAAAACTAAGATAGTTCCAGGTACCTTCTTTTAGTATTTTCATTTCTTTTATTAGTTTTATTTTTTGTGTGTCAGAGATGATCAAGTGACACATTTTCTTCCTTAAAAGTTATATAGGAAAGCCGGGCGATGGTGGCGCACGCCTTTAATCCCAGCACTTGGGAGGCAGAGGCAGGCGGATCTCTGTGAGTTCGAGATCAGCCTGGTCTACAGAGCTAGTTCCAGGACAGGCTCCAAAGCCACAGAGAAACCCTGTCTCAAAAAACCAAAAAAAAAAAAAAATTATATAGGACAAGGTTAGAGAGAAGGCTCCGAGTCAGTAGCATGTACTGCTCTTGCAGAGGACCAGAGTTCAAATCCCAGCACCCATGTTGGGTAGCTCACCCAGGCCTGTTATTCCAGCTCCAGAAGGATTGCTGTCTCTGGCTTCTGGAGGAAGTTCACAAACCCACCCACAGACAGTCTGTTTGATAATATGGCTTAATGAAAATCTGAACTCTTCCATAGGTTTTCAAGTCTTTGTTCGCAAAACTTACCAACACAGAAAAAAAATTGCTACAATTTTTACTATTTTTTCATCAGAATTTCCTCTGTTGCATGGGAGAAACGAACGTGTTTATGCTCTGTTAAACAAGGTGACATTTTTAGATCAGCAGAAATGTAGGTCAGACTTCTGAAGTCTTCAAAGTATTACCTTTCATTAACAGCAAAATGGGAACTCACGTGTCTCAAAGCAACCCCTGGATCATTCATTAAGTTGATGAATTCTTGGATATGTGATACAAAGGAAGCTATCTGAAGGGATCTGCTATTATGAAAATGATCGAGGAACTAATTTTCAGTGGATTTTATCCTTGGTGAAAATACATTCCTTGGTAGCATTAGATAACATGGCCTTTGTTTATGCATTATCATGAAAGGCAAGACAGTGATTTCTGTGGAGCCAGGGTAGCCAGTAAAGTGCTCTATATTACTGTGCAGAAACCAGCTGGATGTAAAAAAAAAAAGTGATGACTACTTAGTGAAATCTTAATAAAAACAAAAATGCTTGACCTTGATTTTGAATGACAAACACATATGTTTCTTCTTGCAGGCTCGATGGCCAAGTCAATGGAGTCACCAAAAATCTACTCAAGGAGTCCACGAGAACCTCTGTCTATTCTTATGAGGCCAGAAACAGCCTCAGGTACTAAAACCAATGACAAAACCAATGATAGGACTATCCTCGTGTTTATTTGTTTAATGCAAGCTAGCCATTATTTTTAAAGCATGGAACTTTCTATATGCAAATATACCTTTACATGAAATTGTTGAGTCAATCATTGCTGGGGTGCTCATAGAGGAATATAAAATGTGATGGTTGCTTTAAAGTCTACAATTATATAAAACATGATGATGACATCAATATTGGCATTCTTTTAGAGATTTATTGATCTTATTTTGTGTGCACGTGAGCATACATGAGTCTATATATGTGCACCACATATGTGCTGGTCCCCACAGAGTCCAGAAAGTATCAGATCCCTGGAACTGGAATTACAGGTGATTGGGAGCCACCCATTGTGGGTGCTGGGAACCAAACCTAGGTTCCCTGCAACAAGTACTCTTGCCTACAGAGCCATCTCTCCAACATGGGTGTTCACATTCTTGAGTGAGATCTGTCAGACTATATTACTAAATCTGAGGTTTGAACAGCCAGTTAAAGTTCACTTTTAACTTAAGGATTATGGGAGAAATTTATGGCTTAGAAATGAACGGGGCATCAGGGAAACAGACACTAAAGTACAGTGCACAGACAGATAAAATGATCTTCATGCTCTAAGACAAATGTACTGAATCATTAGTTTTCACAATATTAATAACAAAGTAGAACAAGACAGTGGATGTTAAGAATGGGAGAGGTGGAAACATTCTTCAGGAGTTGATTAATAACACTTGAACATTTCCATTTGAACACTTGGTTTATATTCTTTCTAAGGTGTGTATGAGCGTGTATACATATATGTATATGCACACACATATACACACCTTAGAAGGAATATATATAGTATATATAATATATTGTATATATATATATATATATAGCCTTTTGCATTGAGTTGGAAAATGGTTTTGTTTTTATCTTCCTCACAAGTGATATTTTAACATGAAACTAAATGATTTTATTGTAGCTCCAATGCTGGAACCAGGAATGTTGGCCCTAAGGACACGGTTGTGTACACAAGGACATATGTGGAGAATAGGTAAGGGAAAAGTGCTTCAGACATTTCACTTCTTTTTATAACTGTGTAATGATCCATGTCGTGTAAGAGGTGCTACCATTTCAGGATGTGAGTTTTCATAGAGAAGATAGTTTAAGAATATTGTTAAGTTCTACGCATATAATATTTATGTTGTTCCCAATGTTAAATAGTTGATAAATAACTTATAGTCATTGTATATACTCAAAATAATTTCAAATATGTTGATGGAAGCTTCTGTCCCACCCAGTCCTGCAGTCATTCAGTCCCAAAGAAACACACAGAGGCTTATATTAATTATAAACTGTTTGGCCTACTACCTTAGGCTTATTACTAACTACCTCTCGCAATTTAAATTAACCCATAATTCTTGTCTATGTTTAGCCACATGGCCTGGTACCCCTTCTCAGTGCAGCATTCTTATCTTGCTTCCTCTGAGTCGGGCTGGTGACTGACTCTCTGCTTTTCCTCTTCCCAGAATTCTCATAGTCTGTTCACCTATACTTTCTGCCTGGCTACTGACCAATCAGTGTTTATCAAACCAAAACGAGTGACAACTCTTTAAAGTGTACAAGAGTATTATCCCACAGCACAAATAACTAATAAGGAAATAACAGGATTGGTAACTAAATGTTATCACATAAATGTGTATGACCATTTGGTTATAACAACCTTTTAATTTGAATCACCCCAATTCAAAGACTCTATTATTTGCACCCAATCTAATGTAGAAAAGAAGATACGTCTTTAGGTCAATTTATCATGGACAAAATTGCAGGAATCCATGTCCTATAAAACAGTCTGCTTGGAATGATGGATGTTGACAAAAGGTGTCAATGGAGGTCATGGATTCACAACGCCTTTAATTTTCAAGGAGTATTAAAAAATGAGATTTGGCCTAATTATAGGTTAATATAATGGCAAAGCGCACAAATGGAGACACATGTGATATGTGTAAACTTACTTCAAAAAAGCCCAAGACAAGAGTTCCGGGGAATCTCCGTGTGGGGGGGAACTCCCAGGGTCAACACAAACCCATGTGTAACTTACACATACAGTTTCCAAAGTAATTAAATTCTGAATTCAAATCTTGCTCTATTGTGACTTCATGACAGTAATTCCTGCTAACTTTTAATTAAATTAAATGATAAAAATGTAAGGAAAAAATTAAAGTTAATAGGTAGAACCTGGAAGAAATAAGCATAGATAGATAGATAGATAGATAGATGATAGATAGATAGATCATAGATAGATAGATGATAGATAGATAGATAGATAGATCATAGATAGATAGATCATAGATAGATAGATAGAGAGATAGATAGATAGATAGATAGATAGATGATAGATAGATAGATCATAGATAGATAGATAGATAGATAGATAGAGAGATAGATAGAGAGATAGATAGATAGATAATAGCATGAGTATGATATATAGTAAAGACAAGACACAAAATATTGGCAAGTAGGGTAAAAGGAATAGACATTTATTCTATACTTACGTGGCACTGTTTCCACACATTGGTAACCCTAGGGGTAGCACATCAATACATTTTGATTTCTAAAGAAGTGTCTCACTGAAACTAAGGCCAACAACTGTGGTATCTATTTTTAAGGAAGAGTAAATCTCTAGAATTAGGAATAGTCTACTACATACTATTTCCTAGATTTTTTTTACTTATTGAATAGATGATTGAAAATATTGAATTGATTTATACAAGTACAGAAACTAAACTAAACATATTTGAATAATTTAGCCCTGTTGGCTATGGTTTGCTCTTGTAAACTGCTGTGCATATGTTACTGGAATATCTCTGTGTGTGTACAGACAGCAATTCTCAAATGTGGTTTCTGGGCTGGATTCAACAGTATCACTTCAGACTTGTTGCAAGCAAACGAAAATTACTTGGCCCCATCTCAGCCCTGAAGAATCAGAAACTCTGCCATTGGGGTCCCAGCTATCTGTGTTTTAACAAATTCAACATGCTTTTGATGCAAATGCAGATTTGAGAACTATAAAAGATAATATTGTGTCGTGTGAGACCAGGAACGTGTAGGGTAAAATAATCTAAAAGGATGGATTTGCTCCTGTTTGTTTGTTACCCTAACATGACCGTGATGCCCCACAAATACCTCCAGCATTCTTAAAGTCTGCTTCCGGATGGCACGGTATATTGTGACGTCTCTAGAGTTAGGTTCAAGACTGAGTTACTATTTGTTATTTACAAACACCATAGCCTTGGCAAAGGGGCTGTGTGTGTGCGTGCATGTGTGTGTGTGTTGGTATTTTAATTTATTTATACTATTTTACTTACATAAATTACTTAATTGGTTAATTTCCACAATGCTGAGAATTGAATTTAGGGCTTTACACATAAAAAATTTTTTTAACCCCTAAACTGTCTCTGCAGCTTTTATTTAATTTGTTTTGAGACAGGATCTTGCTAGTTTGCCTAGGCTGACGTTTTTATACACTCCATAGTCTAGCCAGGTCTTGAACTTGTGGTCTTTCTTCCTCATCTTCCACAGCAGATGGGATTACAAAACTGTGCCTCTAGGCTAGAGAGCTTTATTTTAATAAATAAATGAGATACGAGTATATGTTCTATGAAAACTGATGATGTCTTTATTGCTTATACTTAGATTTAGACTGCCTTGGCCTGTTCTGGTTTTGTTTTTTTTTTGTTTGTTTGTTTGTTTGTTTCATTTGTTAGTTTCTTCGTTTGGTGATGTGTTGACTTGCTGGGGCTTTTGCATCATTACTTCTACAAATTAAAAAATGAAATTGGAAGGACATCATCTGGTTCACAATATTACAAATATAACAATAATAGTAATACTAATGTGTGAAGGGATACATGTTTTCTTACCTATGTGGGGACAACGTTGGGGAAAATGTCCTGATTCTCACATGTCCCTATATGTTCATATTTAGTAGATCACCAAAAGATGGATATCAGGAAAATATCTCAGGAAAATATATACAAACTGTTTATTCAACTTCAGATAGGTAAGTATGCTTATGTTCCCATTTCAAACATGCATGCATACAAACATATGCACACTTTCATGTGCATATACATTCTCTCTGTCTGTTCTTCTGGAGATGGTTTTGATTGGAGACAAGTGGGAATCACACAGTAGGTGATTCTTGAAAAGATGAACTGACATTCCACTTACTATGGGAAATAAACAGAGCAGTCTATGCTCTGATGACATTCCACGTCCACGGCCTCCCCAGTGCAAAGCGCATCTCATCTGAAGAGGCGATTTCTTCTTTCTTTGTATTTCTGGATCTTTATCAGTGCTGGCAGAAGGAGATGATAATGTGGAGGCACAATTTTCTCCTTCTGATGTGCTTGTAGTCTTGAATAGGAAGCTTTGTTATATACATATATGTGTGAACATAAAAACAGTTCATGGGGAAATACTTGCCAGGCATGTGTATGCAAGTAATTGCAGAATAAATTAAAAGTTGCAAATATTTATAAATAAACCTCTACATAATTTGCACATATATATGAATCATTATATACTTTACATACATGTAAATCTTTGTGTATCTCTCTATATGTATCTAGTTATTAGGATGATGCAATTAGAACGACTGGACATATAACACCAGACAAGATTTATTTACTTTTCATGCGTTTCCTCTCACTTTCTCTTCCCCTCAATCCCCCTTTTCCATGCTCGCTCTCTTGGGCACCTGGGCATGGCATCACTTCAACTTGGGAAGTTAGAAGGTCTCACAGGCAGGCTAAGAGCTCTCTGGGTCGTGGTACTTCCGTCCAGATCTCCTCACTGGCTGCACGAGAGCCACCATTCCCTTGCCATTCTGTGTCTCTGCTTTATTTTCTTTAGAGTGTCACAGATGATAACAATCCTGACTCTTCTCAGAATGAACTGAGTTTGCCAAGTAAAGCTCACGGGAAGATGCACTGGACACAAATATAGAGTATATAATACACCATATACTATACATATTATATAATAATCATACGCTATATGAGTATTGTGCGTACATGGATTTCATCCATGTATAGTCAGAGTCATCAGAATAGGTCTCTTGGTGGCATAGTAAGAGTTAGGATACAGGGATGCAGATCATGACAAAATTACTTTATGTGGGCAATATGCAAGTATTGGCTATTTTTATTTCATTATCTCGTCATGTGTGGTACTCTTGAAGCTTTGGACCTACTTGCTAATAATGCCTCAAGCTGTAAAGACTACCGGAAGGGGTTTAAGACAATTTTAAGACCTTCCCAAAGGAAAAGTTCCAAAAGGAAAAGTAGTAAGGTTCTGGCATGATTTAAGGTTTGTTACTGAGTTGATCATATCTATAGTTCATTTGTTGTGGAATGTTAAGTTTCTAAAATAAGTAAGAAGAACCACTTTTCTCTCATATAATTGGTGGCAGGGTCATACCTACCTTCCTTTAGAGAACACATTAATTCTGTCATCATCCATATCCCAGCATCCTACTTCTCGCCGTGGTACCAAGAGCACTGTTAGGATGACTCTGACTCTATAGAGTCATCATTTGTGAGTTCATAAACACATTCCTCAACAGGTTTCTATTTGGGCCGATTGAATGCTTTCAGAATTAAAATCTTACATTAATCTGCAAAATTTCCCTATGCAGTGTATAAAGTACTGTATGTAAATTAGTTAAACTGTTCTTCTAGCTTCAAAGACTGCTTTGGTTCCAGCTCAACCGGGAAACCGAGCATCCTATCCTGCCCAGACATACTCTTGATTGCTAGTAAATTAATAACCCGAGACTTTTCCCTTGTGCTGCTTCCTTGACATCGTTACAGAATTAATCCTATCACGAGCATAAGTAAACAGCATGCTTTTGGATGTCAGTGTGATTCCTCAAGCTCCACCAGGATCTACATGCTCCCACGTGATTTCACGGGAAATACGCCTGTCCCTACACGAGGGCAATTTTGAATGGTTTTTAATTCTTCTGTCACTACAGGTCTGTCATTGAAAGAGATATGTGCACTTACTGCCGCAAGCCCTTGGGGGTAGAAACCAAAATGATTTTAGATGAGTTGCAGATCTGCTGCCATTCCACCTGCTTTAAGGTAACCGCGTACTTTCTTCCTGCTACTGAGCGTGAGGTTGCACAATGACGAGAAAATACATTTATTTATTGAGATGCTTAGAATGAAGTTAAAGCTTTAAACGCCGTCCAATCCACATTAATAGTATGCTACTTAAGTCTTTCTTCATGTTCTACAGCTTCACCCTCAAAGGTCTATAATTACTGCCTTGGCTTTAGGCTTAGAATTCATTCCTTTCACATCCCTTAGCCAGGAAACTTAAGTCTCTAGTAAAGACGAATACTTGTGCATTAAAATGTTTCTGTAACATTTTAATACACAACGTGTTGCAGTAGATATATAACAAAACCAGCCATGGAGAAGAGATCATTGAGAATAAGCCTAGCAGCTCTCTAGTCAGGAGCTCAGGCCTCAGGCCTTACAATGCTTTAAGCTGAGTTTGCTGTTGAGACCATGGTTAATTGAGGCTTAACAAGGAACAGAAACATTCAATAGCAAATGCATCCAAGTTTGGCTTAAATCAGCTCGTTGTTCTCCCCTCCAACAGTGGTGTTGTGCCGGTCACATATCTCTCGGTGTATTTGCATGGGCACTGCCCTGGGTCTCTGAAGACCTCAGTCTGCCTCTGCCCTTCAGTACGGTGTCCATGGGACTTTGGGCAATCACGTAAATGACAACAGCTTTGGTTTCCTTACCTGTGAAGTAGACCATTGAGTAGGCTTAGGTTCTCAATGCCAGTTGAGTGTTATAGTCATAGGGATTGAAGAAGGGAAAAATTTCTTAAAATACCCAGACTTAAAATTTAAGATTTCAGAGATTATTGTTGGATACTGGTAGTCTTAAAAGCTTCTTAGGTTTGTCTAATATAAATCCAAATTGAAAAATCGCTTGTCTGGGTCCTTTCTAGTGATGGGCCTGTGATGACCCATCTAGTGATGGACCTGTGATGACCCATCTGTTAATGAAAAGTATTTTCTTTAGCCAAAGAGAGGTACCCCTTTGCGCATTGATTGTTTGTCCACCAATTACCTAACCATCAGAAACATGATGCATTATTTGAATAAAAAGCTGCCAAGAGAGCTTAGCATGTAGACTACACTGCAGCCAATATGATGACCTCAGTTTGATTCTTAGAACCCACATTCTGTAAAGAAAAAAAATATTTCCCACAAGCTGTCCTCTAACCTCTAACCTCTCCTGCATCCAATAAATAAATATTAAAAAACTAAATCACAGCCTAATGTAGCATTATAAAATATAATCTGAAAATGAAAACTAATATTTGATTATAACATGAAGGTTTTCTAGTTTCAAGATACATTCCCTTAAATAAAAGCATATACCTTAAAAATTTAAAATCAGTATGCACAAAATCTTTTAAATAGGAAAATTTCCTGGTTATTTAAATAGGAATAAATTTCATTTATTATAATTTAAGTGATTCATTTTCATTTTAAGCATTAGAGACTACGAGAGAACAAAAATGTTCCTCATGCTCATAGAAAAAGACAAATTGTTCTACAGCCATGGTAACAGAAAACCACTTAAACTAGTTTAAATGTTTAATAAACCGATCAAAGGCAATTTGCTCTGGTGAATTCATCTTGAAAGCCAACCAGCAACTCACATTTGGAAGTTGGCCAATCAGCAGCAGACGGGTCTGAAAAAGAATAGAGTCCAACCCTTCCCATAACACCCCACCCCATCCCTGGGTGATCTGCAATTTGTTTGGTCCAGCACATTGTGCCCGAATCATACAGCTCTCCCTAGTGGAAGGAAATGATAAACACACCTCTGCCTTTTTGTTTGAGACATTGATGGTTACCCTGTCCTTGTCATAGCTAATTTGTGAAAAATTCTGTCTGCTCCTCGGCGAGCTGTGCAGAAAAGCTCAGAGGTAAAGATTCCCTGAACTGTACCTGCATGTGGAAGGATGCTATCTGAGAAGTTTGGCATGTGGTGATTGGAAAACACACTGAATTTCCCTGTGGCCTCTCTTCGGGGCTGTCTGTGACCCCCTTCTCAGGAGGGTGGTCTCAGAAGAACTGAAGGGTTTTTCTATCCCTGCTTCCTTGAGGATACATTCTTTGTCTACAATATAACCCTGATATATTGTTTTCTTTAGTGTGAAATATGCAAACGGCCTTTGGAAAATCTGCAAGCTGGTGACAGTATCTGGATTTACAGGCAGACTATACATTGTGAGCCCTGCTATTCTAAAGTGATGGGTAAGTGTCTACTCTGCTAACAGCAATCATTCCTAACTAATGTGGGCAACTATTTCATATTGATGAATAGGAAATATTCCAGCAAATTTCAATATTTTACTAAATATAGCTATTGAAAAAGTAAGTGGCAGATTAGTTAAACCATGACAGCATTTGGTTTAATGACATAAATCAGTCAATACTGATACTAATTTTTTTGATATTGGTCGGGATACAGTGTAAACAAGGAGGCCATTTATTTTAGGAAATTTTCCAGGTTGTGAAGCAGAAATGATTTTTGCTGCCTAAATGACTGTTGAAGTTGAGTCATTTCTGTGGATGCCCATTTGTGCTCGTACTTGGAAGTACATTTAAAGATAATTACAACCAATGCCCTTTAATGTGACTTTTGCCTGAAATAGTTAATTTTATATAATCTTATGTTAAATATAACATGTAAAGCTTTGTGGTTTTTTGACAATTCAGGACCAAATGTTACTATAATTTGGACTTTTAATTAGCATCAATAAGGAGAAAGCAAGATGTTATGGGCATGCATTTTTAACTAAGCATGAGAAATTTAAGGGCTGATCTAAAACACATGCAGAATATGTCTGAAAAAAATAATATCCTATAGGATTTAATTGATTGTTACAAGAAAGTACATTCAATTTATTTTTAGATTCAATAGTAAGTAGAACAAGAAAAAAAAAAAAAACAAAATGCTATTGAGGAGAAGGCCCATAGTGTTCTTAGTCACAATGTTTAAAGGGCCCTTGCTCCTGCCAACTTCACTATAGTGGATGAGACTCCTTGGGATTCCTCGATGGGATCAAAAGCACAGAAGTTAATGATGAATGCGTGAGCTTAATGAGCTACTGAGTGGCAACACCTGGAACAATATCCAGAGCTCCCATCCAATCAGGCTTCAGAACCAATGAAAGGAATAAGCCTGGTTATATTTGTACTCTGCCTTCTACTTTCTGTTTCTCAGACTCACTTTCCTTTCTAATTCTGCAGTCCTAATCAGTCCAATATTCTGTGCTAATCCTTGGTGTGCAGGGGGCAACTCCAAAGCTTTTTAGTCTCTTGAGAGTCCCTGACATGATGTGGGCGGTTTGGTGAGCAAGGACTCAGAAGTTAGCATGTCTTCCTCTCTGCCTATGTACACCTCATACCAATGTTTTCTTTAAGAGAAATCGTACCCATAGCTCTGGCTCTCCCTTGTTTCTTAAATCTACACACCCAGTGTGTAGCACTTCGTGTTTGACCAAACCCAGAGCGAAGAGCTCAGGACTAGAAGGAGCGATAGAACGCTTGATCCAGTGCGATCCCCTAAGAGAATGACTTTTTTTTTCAAGTTTTAATAGTGGTTTTATTTTTGTATTGATTTATGTATCTAATTTTGTTTTTGAATTTTCAGCCAAGTGGATTCAGTAACACTGATAAGTGGAAATGAAGCTGAAAAGCAAGCCTTCAGTGAAGAATTTAAAGCTACATTTTAAGAATATATAATATAGAAAAGATTTACATTGAAGATTATCTCTTGTATTAACAATTTTGTTATTTCACAAGTAATCTAATTACTTTGAATAAGATCACACACATGAAAAGAGCCATGTGGTATTTGGTAAGATCTAGTGATAAATACTCACATAGTTCTTGCTACCAAAGTCAATGGCAGTGAGCATTGTCAACCCTGCACAGGCCAGCCCTGCTCCATGTTTAGCTGCTCATTATGATTTTCAATAACCAAGTCTTCCATCTTCTCACCTATCTTCCCTAATAGTTTTATTAGCGCTATAGATACCCTGACAAATAGGCTGATAGAAGCAAGATATACTTCTTCCTTTTTCTACAAACAAAAATGCACGTAGAAATTTTCTTACAAAATTTTTCAAGAAGAGCAGTGTAACAAGTTGTTTGAACTTTTGAAAGTCAAAGTTCCCAGACTTCTGTGATGTTCTCTATGACGCCACAGACACTAGACAAAGTAATTTCTAAAGTCCCTTTTTGCCTTTCTGGTTATCTGATTATAAAAAATGGGATTTTATGCTTAGAAACATATTGGCATATTTGTAAACAGTTGAGATATACAAATAGTTTCACCTAGTGTCATCCTTCAGTCTATCACAGGCTTATCTTTTTATAAACTATTCTTAAAACTGAAATTAATAGTTTTATGGGTGATAGGTAAAACCATATGATGTGTAATTTGTTAAACTTTCTTTGCATGCATTTCAAAATCTGAGAAATAATAGATATTGATTGCAAACATGTTATATGTGTTCATGTTACAGTTTATGTTTACAGAAGGCTCATGACAATAAAATGATTTTCCCTAATGTTTGGATATCATTCATTAACACTGATTTTTTTCAGTTATACTGATCACAAGTTATATTTCATACTATGAGGGTTAACATTTTTAACTACTTAAAATATAGCTTTTATTTTGAAAGAATTCTTTTGTTTTAGAGTCGGAAATTCAATGATCATACAGGAAATTATTGTTATTGCTAACCTAGAAAAATTAAGCATAGTACGTAATTTATAGGCACATAACAACTGTTTCTTGAAGAAAGAGTGACTGGGCTGTGCTGGGACCTAGAATTCTAAGGCATTGGTAAGCAATTGTGAGAAAACAAGCTAGGGTAGTTAAAAGATGACTGCATGATGTGCAAACAGTGTTAAATTCAAATAATTATTCTCCTGTGTAATAATTTTATGCATCTGTTCCTCTTAGACACTGGTCCACAAAGTGTTAAATGCAAAGTGCTTATCAAAATCAGCCATGTATAATTGTCCTATGGGGAGGGAGCCAGAAAAAACAATTAATAATAATTTGATATTCATTAATTCATGCTTGATGAGAAGCAGTGGTAATTGAGCCATATGTTTTATTGTTCCTTTATTACATGCTATCAGAGTGGATCAAAAGAAATAATTTTCTTAGAGTTGAAATTGACTGCAGAAAGCAAGGATTAAATTGCCCCCGTCTGTTTTGTAAAGTACATTAACATCTCAATGTCTCTGTAGTAATTAAAAATCATCCGAATATCATTTACAAACATAAAAATCTGAGAGAACACATTTCTCACTTTTCTATAGCAGGTTTATGGATACTTTCTTATACAATAATGTACTAGACCAAGCCAAAGGCTGTTGGAAAAACAGAATATACACATATCAGAGAGACAAAGGTTTCGGATTCCTTAAGACTGCTCCATTATGTCTGAGGATTGTCTCACTATTGAAATGACAGATCCTTTAGACAATTTGGAAGATTCCTTTTTTGTCATCCATTATTCATAATACGATTGGTATGTTATCCCTAGACAAGATTACCAAATCACCAATACCAGGTCCTGAATTCTGATATAAATGCATAAAAAGTCTCCATAAGAGAAGTAATAGTTCTGTCAAGACAGCTTCCTTTGTGTGTGCATGTGTGATGTGTGTGCACCTACATCTGTGTGTGCATATGTGTGTAGGTCAGAGGTGGTTGACTTTGGATGTGCGGCTCCAGTGACTTCCTTCCACTTTTTTGAGTCATGATGTCTCATTGGACCTGAAGCTCACTGATTCTTCTTAGCTACCCAACCACCCTCAGACGTTCCCATCTCTGCTTCCCCAGCACTGATATTGCAGGCATAAGCCACCACGCCTAGATTTTATATGAAGTGCTGGGCATCAGACTTGTAGCCTCATTCCTGCATAGCAAACACTACCATCACCCATTCATTCCATCACCAAACACCTCAAACTGACAAAGTCCTCTCCTCAAACCTACAACAATATATAGAAGCAAAATAAAAGGAATACCATTATTTCAGAAAGAGAATTTATTAAAGGAGCATGCACTTCTAAAGGAAGGCCAAAAGGATGAATTGAATCAAGAACAAACATATCCTGCATAATTTGACTGCAGTGGCTCAGCTAACTGATTCTGAGGGACAAGATGGTCCAGATCCCACTGCTGGTGACTTGCTGATTTTGCTTGCTAAGATGGAAAGGTTTAGAACAATGTCCTGTTCAGCTGGATTCAGAGCTCTTCAAAACAAGCGATTTATCTACATCATGACAAGCTAATAATACTGAGAGTGACTTGTCAGTTGCCAGTGGAATGATCTGGGTATAATGTAAATAAATTGATTTGTAGAGTTCTACCTATTTCATAGTAGTCAGCAGTGTCCCCAGAGGAATCCACAAACATCCTTCTTAAATCGGATAGGCTACTTTCTCTCTGTCTTGATGCCTTCCTGTGTGACGTGCGACTTTAGAATATTGGCTCTTTAATGTACCATGAGCTCAAACATTGCAGAGATTACAAGTCAGTTTCTACTGCTCACTTATGATCCATTTTGTTACATACATATTGAAGCTTTGAAGGGAACTACAGGGGGAAGGGATGTGAAGGAGCAGTTTGAAGGGATAGAATGAGAGGGGGGGCACAGTAATAAATGCAGGAAATGAAGCATGCTGACTGTGTGAATGGTACAGTTTGGGACATAATATGGCAAGGGATGAGGAGTTATTTCAAATAAAACCTAGATTACAGGCAGGAACCTGCGTGGGAAAGAGCTAGGGTGAGGAGCTGTCTTGGACTTGGCAATAATCAGATCACATTCTAGGTTAGTCTAACTTCACTTCTTTTCAACATAATGAGACAGAAATTTAAATGCAAAGAGACAGGTAGTTCAAAAGATTCTGAAGCTTCCTTTAGTCCCCATATAAATGATATTCAGACAGGACCCAGGCTGCCTTTCTGTTCTCTGCTAAGAACAATTAGTCCTGAGCCCCAGGATTAGGTTTCTCACTAGATAGAGGAGCCCACAAGCAAGTGTGATGGGCTGTCAGGTGACTGGCAAGTGACCTGGGTCCCACCTGGACTGGAAACAAAGAATGATGTGGTGTAGGATCTCTCACCTCCTTTGAGGCAGGGGATGTCTCATCTCTTGTGTTCTCCCAAGTGAAAATGCTAAACAGAAAAGCACCATTCTTTCTTACCAAGGAGAGACATCCTGCTGGAATTTTATCAACGACACATGTTCTTTTCCCTTGTTGCAATATGAAATCATATCTGCTAAGAAGAAACATTCAGAACTTGATATACCTCTCTCGACAATCAGTTTGTTAATTTTGCCTTTTTTCCCAAGAGAAATGGAAAAATCTCTAGTGTCAGGGTCTTTGGGGCCCTGTTTGATAGGATATGGTATTGGCAGTGCCCTCAGTCACAAATAATGTCAATAAAGATCCCTAAATGTGTGGTAATTTTGTTTTGACATATGTGTTCACACATTTTACAAAGATTCAGAGAATGACTCGTAGACCTAGATGTGAAAATTGAAAACTATAAAATTTATAAGAGAAAACCCAAATACTCTTAAGCTTGATGAAATTTTAGCTAGAACACTAGGAGTAATTATTTACAGAACAAAAATTAATAAACTGGAACAAATTAAAAAAACCCTGCTGCATAAAAAAAAAGCTGATAAGAGAATGAAAAGATAAACCACAGGCAGTGAGAAAATATTTTCAAAACACTTGTCTGTTAAGGAACGTGTCCCCAATATGTCCAAGTAATTCTCAAAATACAACAACAAAAATTAAAATAAAATCTTCATTAAAAAGAGACAAAAGGTCTGCTGGACATTTCACAAAAGAAAATACATAAAAGTCATATGAAAGGTGCTTGGTGGCATTTGTTCCTTAGAGTGGAGCCGCTCAAATAGCAATGAACTGCCGCCACCCCTAAGAGGAATGCTGAAGTATGCGACTCAGACAGCAGTGAGCTGCCGCCACCCCCAAGAGGAACCCTAAGTGTGCAACTCAGACAGCAGTGAGCTGCCGCCACATTTGAGAGGTGCGCTGACGTGTGTACGCTGTTACCAGCACATCAGCGTGATGCACTTGCTATAGCTAGTGATCCTATGGTGAACTCATGTACGTATCTTTGGATTTCCTCCTGTCTTCTCTCTGCCGTAGCATCCCAACTGTTGACTGCACCGCTCATCCTTTGGTTTCTCTTGCTTGTGAAGGTTCCTTCAGCTTTGCTGGCTTTGATGACCTTGCTACACAAAGATTTTTTTCCCCTGATGCTTTTTTCATGAGGTTGTGGGTACTGAAAAGGAAGACTACATAGTCCCATTCTGAGGATATCATATTGAGAGGAACCTGAATTATCTGGATAAGGTAGTGTCAGTTCTTTCTTCTTGTCAAGTTTCTCTCTCTCTCTCTCTCTCTCTCTCTCTCTCTCTCTCTCTCTCTCCATACTTCATCTTTAATTTTAAATTTTTATTACATTTTATTTTATTTTTATTACATTTCATTTGTGTGTAGGAGTGTGTGTGTATGCATTGTGTGCATGTGTGTGCACACACACATGCCATGGTGCACTTTGGGAGATCAGAAGACAGCCTGCAGTACTTCATTTTCTCCTTACACCATGAACTCTGTGTACATTGTTGTCTGTGTGCACCCCCATGTGCTTGAGTAGTTTTCGATTTTATGGTATTGTGAGATGCTTCCAGCTGCTGTAACATGCAATTTATCACATTCCAAGAGGGAAAAATAAAACTTGTCTTCAAATGTTGATTTCCTGGTGTATTAGACTTCTAGCCTTTAATTTTCATTTCCTTCTTCTCTACCATATGACCAGTTAGGCAACACTCTCTTTTATGATTTTTTGAAAGCCCCTGGCTTCTAGCATCTGTTTTTATATAAATATGAACCTTTATCTATTATGGCATGACTAAGTGTCTATCACAAAGAACACCTACATGCAGTACTTCAAACAGGGAGGTTTTTCTCACAGCAAAACCAAGTTGATTTTGTACACAAAACTGTCCAGAGCATGTTGTGACTCTGTCCTGCTCTAATGCCTTATGATCAACATTGACTTAACAACTTCCCACTGGCCAATGACTGAGAAAGAAAAAAGATATGAAGAGTTATCGCCTTTCTTTCATTTACAGCCAGCTGTCACTCACATTGACCACATTCCACTGCTCAAACCAAGGCTTTTGTTCTAGTTCTACTGCTGTGAGGAACCATGACTAAGGCAACACATAAAATAGAGCATTTAATCGGAGGCTTGCTGACTGTTTCAGAGGGCCAGCTTGTGAATATCATGGTGGACAACACAGCAGCAGATGGGTAGACAGGGCCCTGTAAGGAGAGAGAGAGAAAGGGAGAGGGAGAGGAAGAGAGAAAATGAGAGAGAGAAAGAGAGAGAGAGAGAGAGAGAGAGAGAGAGGGGGGGGGGGGGGGGCTTGGGGCAAGGAAAGGGAGAGGGGCTGATGCTGGCTTAGGCTTTTGAAACCTCAAAGCATACCCCTGAGTGACACACTTA